CCAGTATCAGACGCTGGTCATAACACTAAGAATCCCACAAAACATGGAAAACTTAGATGCTACAAGTCAGTTATCACAGAAAGTGTCGCCATCGCCGGATCTCGAACCCGGATCGCAAAATCAAGTTATTAGCGGTGTTAGCGCCTCAGGCAGCTCGGTCACTTCGACATTGGTCCTTGACAAACAAATCAATATACAAGCAGAAAGTAACTGCCGATATGGCCATTCGAATAATTTTATCAATCGTTCATCTCCCGCCAAACGGCCAAGATGTCTTCTACGACTACCGAAGTTTGACTGTGAGGGCTATGTCCTCCTCCACGAGTTTTCCGAGATGAAGCAAGAACTTTACCACGAGGTAAATAAACTGCAAAACGCATATTTCTTGTCGAGCGGTTAAAGCAGCCCTTGTCGGTCAAAAACCTGGGATAAATATAAATTAATATGCTCAGATTGCTTCGGCCGGTATACCTGAAACTCGCATATCATGCAACGTGTCTGCCGAACCAAGTAAACCAGTGGAAGTTTCGATCGAACTCAAAGAAATTCAAACAAGTCCGCAGTCTACACCATCGTTACTCTGCTCAAGCAGCATTAGCAATGATCTGGATTTGCATTTGGATTTGGACGGGTCGGCCGACACACCTGAAACTTGCATATCAGATCATGTGTCAAGCCCGCGGTCTACACCATCGTCACTTGGCTCAAGCACCATTAGAAGATATCGGGATTTGCATCCTAGCGCCACATCGTTGCTCGACGCTTCACCAGAAAGCGATGACAAAGAGGTCGATAAGTTCATAAAGCCAAAGAGGCATAAAGCTAGGAAGGCCAAACGGGTCACGGGTGTGCACTCGAACATGGGTGTGACCTATCGAACCGAGTGTACCGGATACAAGTGCTCACTAGGTCGAAATACATGAGCTCGCAACAAATGCCCCATTGAATCACAAGCAGAAAATAGTTGTAAAGGGGGCCCCAGAGTTCGCGTCAACAATTCCACAAGAACGAGTTAACCATGACGTGGATCTTATGAGAAAGTTCGCCAAACCGTTGCTAAAACCAGGCGAGTCATTCCGCATTTTTAAAGCATTTTGAATAGGGCAGGCTCAAACAGCTCCAGAATCTAATTCTCGGCCATGACCTCTTAAAGTTATTTGAGAAACTGAAGCACAGGCGCAACTTTTGCTAGAGCGCAAACCATCCTT